ATCTACTACTGCTGAAGCTTCGCAATCGATCTCCGCTTCTTTCTACGGCTCGTCTTCGGACGATTATCGGTTGACTACTTGGCTGATGGACTCAGGTGCTTCGGAACACATCACTCCTTACTTCGACGACTTCGACACCTATGAGGAGTTTGCCTCTCCAATGGTCTTCGGCACTGCTGCAGCCGGTTCGCCGCTTTATGCGCCCGGTGAAGGCACTGTTCGTGGCCGTACATGGGTCGAAGGCTCTGGTTGGGTCAATACCACCATTAGCCATGTCGTTTATCTTCCGAATGCATCGTGCCGGCTCTTCTCCTGTGGAGCCGTTGAGCGGAAAGGTCACACCCTTGTTGCTGGTGGAAAGCGCTGTTCTATCTTCTCTCAGTCGCTCTCTGAAGCACCAAAAACTGGTATGACGATTGAAGGAACTAAGATACTCGAGGGGAAGTACATCGAAACCTCAAACGTCTACTACATGTTCCTCCAAATTCCTGCGAAGGGCGACGCAAAGGCTTCTGTTCAGCCGGCTGTCACTGACTACTGGACGTGGCATCGTCGACTTGGACATCCCTCCAAAGAAGCTATTTCGCGTCTGCCTGCGAACTCTAAAGGTGTTGATCATATCGATCCTCCGCCTACTAACGCGCCTGTCTGTGAAGGCTGCGAGTGGGGCAAGTCTCATCGACTACCGTTTCCTCCCTCTGAGAAGCGTGCCACCGTTCCTTGCGAACTGATTCATACTGATGAGGACGGACCCATGGGCACAGAATCGATCAACGGACACAACCTTCATTACGTCTCATTTCTTGATGACTGTTCTGGTGTTGGGCGCACGTACTTTCTTTGCCACAAGAACCAGGCCCATCAAGCCTTTCGCGAATTCAAGGCTTGGGCTGAGACCAGTACCGGTTACAAGATCAAGACTGTCCGCTCGGATCGAGGAACGGAGTTTACTTCGGAAGCATTCACATCAATTCTGAAGGAGTATGGGATCGAACACCAGAAGTCTACACCTGATTCGCCGCAGCAGAATGGACGTGCTGAGCGTTGGAACCGTACCATCATGGAGAAAGCCTTGTCAATGCTTCACATGGCTGGCTTGTCTCACGGTTTCTGGCAACTTGCTGTCGCATGCGCCGTTCATCTGTACAATCGTCAACCAATGCGCCGCCTTAAATGGCGTGCTCCTATCACGGTTTGGAATGGGACTGTCCCTGACGTCTCCTACTTCCGTGTGTTTGGCTGTAAAGCCTTCGTTCACGTGCAGAAAGACCACCGTCAGAAACTCGAGAAGAAGGCAATCGAGATGACGTTTGTGGGTTATGCAGATGGGACCAAGGGGTATCTGTTTTGGAACCCTGCTAAGCACTCGATCGTTGTGTCTCGCGATGTGACCTTCGATGAGAGTGTCTTCCCTGCACGTAAGGAACCCGGCAATCGCCCCGTTACCCCAGGGGATAATCCGTTCCCAGATCTCCAAGATGATGATTCGTCTTCAGACTCTTCCTCGGATTCTGAGGGCTCTCCATCAAATGAGGGCTTTAGGATTCCTTTA